TCCGCGTGTTTATATCATGTGAGCGTGTGTTTTTGTACCACTGACAGAATTGTTCTTTTACTATGTACCATGCATGTATCATCTAGCACGACGTGCCTGAATGAAAAGCCACCATGTGGCTCTTATGGCAAAGGTATCACCCCCATCATCATCGTCCGACCAAAATGCATGTTAAAACTCTGCCACCTAAAACCCTAACGTCGCAGCGCTTTATCACGGTTACCCCCGCTCGCCGCCAGGTGGCTATTCGCTCAGGTGTTTACGTGAGACACCGGCCATCAGGCATTACCTGCGTCGCGCGGCCCGGAGGCACAATGCCTTTTGCCCAATATTGCAGTGTTTCTGCTCGCTGATGCGCACAGTCTAATTTGTTCTATCGCATGTAAGTTCATGCCATGGCTTTGTGGCGGTCAGGTGGCCAGCATTGGTCATTGGCGATACGAAATCTTTGGGCGGCGAAGACATACCACTGCCCCTGGTAGCCTCCTACCACGCACCGAACATGACTAGAACGACCTCCACCTGCCAACGCTACCTTGGCCCCCATGGCGACGGCGGCCACAGAGATGACGGTGCCTTCCTCGTGGCCGGAGTAGCCGAGCACGGCGCGCGGGAACAGGCGCCGGTACTGCTCCAGCACGCGCAGGTGCACGTCCTGAGGCGGCGTGGGGTACGCCGACGTGCACTGCAGCAGCGCCAGCTGGCTGGTGTGGCGCAGCACCAGGTCATAGACGCGCCGCACCGTCGCCAGACTCTGCATGCCTGCGGCCGAGGACAGGCACGTGACGCTCGCGGAACGTGACGGGAGGAGCGGGGCGGTGACGGGAGTGGAGAAGGGCCCCACTTGTTCTGCAGTAGTAGGAGCTGTGTCGGCCGATTGGTCGGCATGCTTTGTTAGCTTACGCGTCTCACTTTTTTTCTAATCGTCACCCGTTAACAAGAAACAGAAGTGTTCCTCCTATCATGCGAACAACGCACAAGAGACACCTGGCCTCTGAATGGCCATCATGCAACGGCGTAGGCTGGCCGTGGCGATGTTATATAATGTTTTAGAAAGTACTCCGAGCGTACCCTTTCCAGAGAAAATATTGGACTCCGCTGCGTCATACTGCGCGTCACGTCACATCCAGCCAATCGCCGACCTGCGGCGGCGGTTACCTACCAGGCCGCTGGCCGCTGGTGTTGTCATTCCTGATCACGTGATTCTTTTTTGACGTAGTTTGATATGGAACAGTCCAGTAGACAAAAAGCATTTAATCTCACTAAGTGAACGGCTTTAGGCATTAATAGGATGGTGCGTGTGAATGTTTTTTTTTAATTATCCGAGCTGTGATATTAACGAGAGAGCAGAGCATGTCTCTGCTGAAACACATGCCGTGCCCTCTGGATCGCAATACATTACAGGTGAATCACGCTGGAGAGGGAGCAGAGGGAACATAACGGGAAACATAAGAAAAAGGAAACACAAGAAACACCGCAGAAAGCTTGCGTCGCTGCCTGTGAATCGCAGACTAAAAGTCTAACCCGACCAGGTACCCGCCGCAATGCTGTTACTACACAGCCCAGCACAGATGCATGAGCGGGACAGTGAGGTTCACGGGGAGGCCGGACGACTCCTGACCCAGCCTTGCCTGTGACTGGCTGTCAGATCAACGTCTCTCGAGGAAGGCGAGGACGCACATGACCTTGAACGAAGAGGATGATACCGCGCATGTGCCAAGGACACTGACGGTGATAACGTAACACATACATCATTAGCCGCATGACCACGAGTAGCACAGTCGTGTGATCGCGCTGGCCGGCGTCCCCGCGCCCGGCTGACGGTGTCGTCGCCGTGCACTATCTCCGTGCGGCGCGGGCGTCCAGGAGGCCGGGGCCGCACGTGGCCGTGACTGGGTGGCGCGCGCTCACCGGTGGAGACGACCAGCGGCCGGCCGCGGCTGGCGATGTCGCCGATCATCGCCAGGTTGTTGGCGTCTCCGGAGCCCACCTTGATGAACGGCACGTCCAGCCGGTGCAGAAACTCGGCCGACACCGGGTCCATCGCCGACGCCGTGAGCAGGATGTCCGCCTGGGTAGGAGTGTCGCACGTCAGCCTGCGGTCGGTTCTGGGGCGCTAAGCGCCTCAGGATGTCCGTCTGGGTGGGAGTGTCGCACGTCAGCCGTCTGGATGGGAGTGTCGCACGTCAGCCTGCTGACGACGCTGGGACGCTCAGTGGCTAAGAACGTCCGTCTGGATGGGAGTGTCGCACGTCAGCCTGCTGACGACGCTGGGGCACTCAGCAGTCCGGAGCGTCTGTCCTGGTGCGAGTGTCGCACGTCAGCCTGCTGACGACGCTGGGACGCTCAGCGGCTCAGGATGTTCCTCTGGATGGGAGTGTTGCACGTCAGGCTGCTGACCACGCTGGAGCGCTTAGCGGCCCAGTGTCGCGCCGGGCGAGCAGCTGCGCGGACTTGACCGATTGGGGCCAGTCAGGTTTGCGCGTGCCACACGGTCGCGCACAACTCTAACGTGGTAGGTAGGTACAAACTAGAAAGTGTGTCGAAAGATTATCTTGAGCGCAGGTTTCTTGATTGACCTATCACTAAAAACAAAACGAAGCAAATGCGACTGCACGGCTCTCTGTGTCTGCCTTTTGGCACGTGCCAGGGGAGTACCACCCAGCATTTGTCCAGCAAAAGGACGTGGTCTCTCTCATTCTAAAATTTGGCGGCACGCTAAGAAGTACAGTGTATTTGATGAGTGCACAATCAAAACACCAAGCTATCGCAGTGGCTCAGTGGAGAGATCTCCGCCACTCAACATCGGACAAGCCTCCAGTCCACATCTAATCCAATGTGGATGTTGGGCAGCGGCGTCGAACCAGTGCTGCGCCTGGCCTGCACAGGACGCCACCACCGCCCGCGATGTCCTATCCCTGCATGCCCTGACCTGTCGAGCGTACGCCTGCAGCTCCTTGTAGGCCTCCTCGCCGAGCTCCAGGTGGGCCTTGTGCTGGCCGTAGGTGGCGCCCCAGGCGTGGGGTCCACCGTACGGCCGACAGAGGGCGGCGCGGCTGAACTTGTCCGGCAGGCTGGACTTCTGCAGCTTCACACAGTCGGCGCCGCTCCTCTGGCACACGTCCGACGCGGTGAGGAGTGCTAGATAGGCTAGGTCTGGGGCAGTGATGCAACGAAAGCTGTCGCAGTGGCTGAGTTTGATTGGGGTCGAGACGAGGCGCCGCTACTCGCGGGGAAGAAAGCTTATACTTCCCAGGAGCCCTGTGTTGCCCCCCCCCCCCCCCCCCCCCCACCTCCACCTCGGGCCTCACGTTGTTTTTCCTCTGGTATCACAACGACCCCACTGTATTGAAGGTTACCTTTCAAACCGACCGCCCCTAAGCACCAGTTTGCCCCCTTCTCTGGGTTCTGGTCTCTCCCTGGCGTCAAACATCGAAGGTGTCCACGAGTTTAGTGCATTCTGTTTCATGATCGAGGCCAATCCGTTTTGTTTCCGTCCATCGGCATCGAGCTTGCCTCTCATTTTTCTTGCCACCTAAGCTCACGGGCGGATCCAGGGGGGGGGGGGGCCGACGGGGCCATGCCCTCCCCCGCCCTTAGGTCGTGAAACCATATGCCCCCTTCCCAAAAACCGTCGGACGTACGCTCTTACGTGCATGCTACGTCTTATTTCCAACAATTAACTGTGTAGATTTCTCGTTTTGCTGCTGTTGGGACTGTCATCTATGTCGACAGTCAACGCGTACCCGCGGCTTGCAGCGGTTACGGGTCTAACATGAATAGTTCATTGCTGGTGGGTGGTTAATCCACTATCACATTAACATTTCGAGAAGTGATTTAACCCACTATTCTGTTGACTGGGTCCCCAGTGACCCGTTAACTTCATCATCACAACCAGCCTACCAAACACAGATTATCCTGCTCCTCACACATTATCCCCTCCGCGTGCGACGCAGCGGCTTGAGCCCCGGACCCCCCCCCCCCCCCGGCGTCATGGTGTCGTATATATGTATATATATATATATATATATATATATATATATATATATATATATATATATATATAAGCATGTCTTGGTGTCGGTGTGGGTGCCACTTGATGTCTTAAACGGAATTCTACAAGAACGCTTTGCCCCCCCCCCCCCCACACACACTCAAAAAAGGTCTAGATCCGCCCCTACCTAGGCTATCGGCAAATTTTATCCCTGTCCCAAGCAATTCACATCCGAATTCACAAAAATATCATGCGATAGCCCTGGTGACAGTAAGGCATGGCTGCTTTAATTTTGCCGTTACAGAGCCTGGCCACCCGATCCAAACAATGGTCCAGTGCTCATCGTTGGTGGCCAACCCGTGCCGCGCAGTTGGCAACCCACGCGAATGGTTCGGAGAGCGTACCTTGGCCGCGTCGATCAGCTGTTTGGCGATGGCGACGTCGCCCTGGTGGTTCTGGCCGATCTCGGCCACGATGAAGCAGGGCGCGTCGCCACCGATACACCTCCCGTCGGCCAGGTGGATCGTCGGTCCCGACATGGCACCGGGACTGCGAACTGGTCCGGCGGCCAAGACTATGAGGGAGACACTATAATCTGACCATCAGTGGTGTCTTCAAATCGCGTGAAAGAGAAATGGCGCTTCTGACGTCTCCATGAGAGCTATTTGTACGCCCCACGGCCTGTGGAGCCCAGAACGGTAACCTGGCGCACAGGGACAGCTGTGTCAGTGTCGCCGCGTCGGTGAACGGGTCTGAACAGGTGGTCGTGCTGCAACCGATGCTGCAGTTGCGAGGCGCCCGCGAAGTCCAAAGCGGTTGTTTCAAAATGGGACCATTTTGAAGACTCCAGTGTAACTGAATGTGGCAAAGTACATATGAGGAAGGTTAGTCTTGTGGAAACGGCCATGGTTGAACTGGGAGTTGCAGTCGAATAAGTCGTCGTTCAGATGAGCATAGCTAAGTGCACATTTCATGTTTCTCAAGCCTTCGAACTACAAAACAAACATATTAGACAAAAATTTATTGCGTGCAGTGTTCAAAAACTATAAAGTAAAGCATATCAAACTTAAAAACAATAAATACAACAGCAACAAGCCCATTCAGCGACAGCGACGTTAAAGCGCTACTGGGGTAGGAGGGGCGTGGAGAATGCGGCTAGTAGACATGTGAAATGATATAAATAACAGACAACTCATGTTCGTCTATATAGGGTCCATCGTTACTTCGAACAGCTCAGCCTCCTCCTCCGTGCCAGCCAGGGCCTCATGCTTGAAGAAGGACGCGTGCAGCATGATGACAAAGAACGAGGCGCCGATGACCCAGAACAGGGCGGAGCTGGCCCCGACGATGAGAAAGAGCGGGATGCTGAGCATCGCCACGCCGGCGTACTGCTGTGCCAGCGGCACCTCTCGGCCGGCCAGCACCAGCTTCTTCTCCGCCTGCCGCAGCTTTAGGATGTGGCAGCCACCGGCCAGCGCAGCCATCGCGATCAGCAGCAGCGGCGACGTCAGCAGGCAGTAGACGAACAGACCGATGAACACGAACACGTAGTTGCTCTGGAAGTGGTCGATGTTCTTCACCAGGCGCTTGGACCAGCGCGGCAGCGAGTCGGGCTTTCCGAAGCTGTTGACGTTGATGAACTGGATCCAGGGCCGGATGTTCTGGCGCCTGCTAGCAATCCACTCGCGCACGGCCGGGTTCGCCAGCTTGGCCTGCATCTTGCTCAGCACCGTCTTCGGCTGGCTCAGCTCGCCGTCCAACTCGCCGTCAACGGGCTCGGGTACCAGGATGGCGCTCTCCAACTCGGCCAGAGACATCACCGGTCAGCGGCGAGCGACAGACACTTACCGGCAGACGCCTGCGGACGGGAAAACAGCATCACCGGCACTGACAGAGCCGCCACACGCCGCTCCCACACAATGGCCGTGGTCTGGCCATCCGACGCTGGCGAATGGAACGTAACTCAATGGTACAGTGGGAAGCAATTTGTAAACTGACATACCTGATCATGGGCTGAAGCTTTCTGTATTTGGTGGAAAAAGCCTTCACTAACTAACTGTAGGTGGTTTTGGCTGTGGATAGACTGTTGCATTTTTCTTAGAATTTACATGAAATGTGTGGAAATATCAGACATCAGCACAATCATGTGCTTAATATATGTGGCTCTAAGACTGGTCTAGGCAGTAGTGTATGATGGACAGCTTGATACTGTGTGTACATAGATTACTTTGTATAGCATCAACCAGCCTGATGCCTTCCAGAGGAGTGATATATTTGTTTTGTTTGTTTTGTTTGCATTTGTTTTTTTAATTCACTTTACTTATGACAAAGTTCTCAGGTTCATTATCTCCCTAATCTCCCAACCTGCCAATTGTGGGAGTGAATCAAAAAGTGGGACAGGATGTTTGAGGAGAAAAGAGAATGAACACAAATTTTTAAAGCAGGCATTTTAAGCTGCAGTCAATCTACATTCCCCAGTGTTTGATCTTCTCTACCTCTTTAATGGTGGCATGATTAATTGACATGAAATCTTGGTGCAGTGCTGGAGCTACTGTCTAAGTGTTGCGGTGCTTTCTTGTTTCATCATCTTCAAAGAAAAACGTACTTTCATTAGTATACAGCGCAACTGCTGAGCTAGACAAAACATTGGGAACAATGTTGATGTGAAGCAAAAGAAGTGGACACAAGATCAATCATTGCAGAATGCCAATATTTACCTGTTATAATGGGGATCCAACTCATTTAAACTCTACACACAGAAACTGATAAGCTAAGTGAGATGCAATGTGTTGCAGATGGGACACTTGGCCAAACCATACTTGATGAGTAACTTCTTGATGAGTACAGAATGATCTACAGCATCAAATGTTTTTTTTTTAATGTGGATGTATCCCACATACAGCATTCCAGATATAACTCTCAAACAGACTCTGCAGCATTTTCTTGACATATAGTGCCATCAAAAATTTCTGTTGGAAGCCACAATGCACTCACCAAGGATGTTCACAATGTTCAATTAATTTGGGTCAAATATCAATCTTTTATTTTTAATGTGTTAAGAACTATAAGACACAATATTTATTGACATGTAGTTAATGAATCACATGGGTTGGTAATATGCACCAACTCACCCCCTACCCAAGGACAGGTTGGTTGGAAAGTGTAACATTTATGTTGTTGATTCTCACACATAGATTCTCTGCAGACTTTATAATCTCCTGTATTTCTGTCATATCAGTGTTTAGGATATTAAATGCATAGAGCATATCTAGAGCTTGCTGCATATAACTGCATCTAAATGTTCCATGGACTTCTTAAAGGTTAAAATTGGTCACTGACCTCAAATGACTAAGGTACACATTTTGCTTTCAGTAGCATACTGCCTAGCTCTATTTTCAATGCTTGTTCAAATGCAAAACTTAAAACAGTCTTGTATGATTTTGGTCACCATGACCTTTAAAAGGTCAAACAAGGTCACTGACCTTAAATAAGCATCTATGACCTTTTGCTTAAAACAGATCTTTAGGTTCTGGGGAACTTAAGCCACCAACCTGGAGTTTCCCCTTGTTTAACCTTATTTAACCTGAAGGTGATGGCCTAGGAACCCTAAATTTTGAAACAAATCAACACTTTTGTGAATTAACACTTTAGGATGAACAACTTACTGTGCAAACTGGGGATTGGCTACACTTCACTTACAAAACCAGTCAATATTTCATACATCTTTTTGGAGCCTGCTTTATTTAGTTCAAGTTAATTTTGAAAATTTGTCAGGATTACTGGCAAAACTCATGGTTTCATGAGTATCATATTTCAAATGTGTTTGAGGTCAGGGTGTACTTTCCTACCTAACGTTAGAAAAAATCATTGTACGCCATTCATCGTGTTTAGGGCAGGACATCTCGTAAATAATCTCAAAACAGGTAGAATCATGCTCCTACCTTTGAATTTCAATAACTTCGATGGCGGGCTCCCGAGCACCGCGCGCACCGCACCGCCTGGACTCCCCAGCGCCGTTTCTGCATTGCCGTTGCGTAAATACAATATTTCTGCTTACCAATAACTCTACAAAATGTGCGGGACCAAAGTAAACCATTCGTCGTGTTTAAGGCAGGACATATCGTAACTAGGTGCAGTGCGCGCGGCGCTCGGGAGCCCGCCATCGAAGTTATTGAAATTCGAAGGTAGGAGCATGATTCTACATGTTTTGAGATTATTTATGATATGTGCCGCCTTAAACACGATGAATGGTGTGCAATGATTTTTTCTAATGTTAGGTAGGAAAGTACACCTACACCATGTTTGATTTTGATGCTGCATTCATCTATGTTTCAATGAGAGCACTAAGAAATGTCATTCATGCTGTTCCTGAGTCTGTGAGTATATGTGGCAGGCCAACTACTCAGTGAGATATATGGATAGATCCCCATGTATTTCTCCATAAAATGTTGCATAATGCACTCACTTCTACAGTTAACCTGGCAGGGGAGCATAAAAACAAATACCAGTAAGTGATCATACAAGTTCACAAATGATGCCAGAACCTGGAGGTTTAAAGCAGGGGTGTAGTATATCCAGAGGGGGGGGGGGGGGAGTCCATTCCACCATGGGTTTTGATTTGGGAATAAACTCTGATGATGTAAATTTTGAGGGGAGACTTGGTTGTTTTTCACAGATCAGTCCTGAACTCATTACACAAAGATACACACCTGATTTAAAGGTTGTTGGCTAAACTACATGGTCAGATTCATGGATAGATCCCCAAGCATTTTGACATTTAAAATTGCATATCACATTCACTTCTTCCAACCACTCAGCAGGGGAGCATAAAAACAAATATCAGAAGGTGAGCATATGCATTCAACTTGATGACGTGGCATTAAGGCACGCGCGACCTCTCCTGACTTTGATACTAGTCTGGTACAGGTATGCGTAGTTTACTGGAAGGGGAGCAAATATCGACACCAAAATTCTAACTGAATCAAGGAAGGAATGGAACGTTCAAACCAAAGCATCTGCAACTCCTTACCTGCAGCACTCGGAAACAGAATCTGTTCAAGGTTGTTGGCGCCCCACCCAACTGCTGGTGGCGGCGGTACAAGATTAGTTCCAAGATCCAGGGCGCCAGTGTTTTGACTGCTATTGCGCGTGTTTTGCCGCGTTTTACGTGGCAAGACTAAAATCAAGGATAGGCATAAACTTTTATCTTACTGTATTCTGGTAGTATTGGTAACTCCTCACTTAAATCCATTTGTATCAGCTATATAAGTACAAAAGCTCTCCTCAAAACCGCATATAAATAGCAAATGATACCTGTCCAAGCTTTTGACTTATACCGGAGCATTCCCGAAGTCTTCCCACAATCTGGCCTACTTTCTGCAGACATAGCAGTTTGTATCGTGCTTTGTATGCATGTGCATACACAAGTACACCTTTATTCCGTAGACACAACGCATGCCCTTCTGAGTACAAATCATACCCTTGTGACCCCAAAGATCACGGGGTAGATTGTGTACCATCAGTTTAACATGCAGCCGTAATAAAAAGCGCGTCTCATAATTAACTATCAGCACGCATTGCGAAAGAATCATGGGTGACTGATACGGAGCAATGAGTTAAATTAACCGCTCAGGCTTCATACCGAAGAAGTCTTGAGAGGGCAAACACTAGAGAATGGCATCCCCGTTCAATCTGGTCGGGTGTTATAAAACGTAATTGTTCATAAACCTTATCGTAAATCTGAGAACAGCGTGTATGTGAGATAGCATTTTGAAGGCGATGGCATACAATTTTAAACAGGGGGCACGTGCTCTTGACGAGATCAGGTTGGCGAAGTCACGCAGAACAAAGTGCGAGCATGAGGCACGTTATTAGAATGACGCAGTGCCCTGGTGGAACTGACATTCACATTTACAGCCCATTTACAGCAGGCCAGGTAAAATAGCTGACCGCATCAAATCCTGTCACAGCATCTGCCCATGCAATGGGTGTCCCAAGCAGCCGCCAGCAGCAGCCAGCCAGCAGCCACACTGTGCACCAGTCAATGGTTTCCAGCACCGCCGGGTGGATCCGTCACTGGCTGAAGTGCGGACCATTCGAGATCCGTGTCATGGTGACCAGGAACCGTACCCGGTGACGCACAGCCCTCTGGCGCGGTCACAGCCGACATGCCCTCAGGCTCACTGCCCACCAGCGGCGTCAGGGTGTCTCGCGGACTACCACCGTCCGTTGACGGCGGCCGGCCAGCCGACCACTCGGAGGCGCAGTGGTGTCCTCTTTCTGACCCGGGCGGCGAGCGAGGCGCTGTCTCCTGGCGGAAGCTGGGCGCCGATCTCGGCGCGTGCTGCGAGCAGGGGCAGCGGACGCCGCTGCTCACATCCTCCTTTTTGTACTTGACCCGGCGGTTCTGGAACCAGATCTTGACCTGCTTTTCAGAGAGGCTCAGGTAGGAGGCGATCTCGATGCGGCGCAGGCGCGACAGGTACATGTTGGCACGGAACTCGCGCTCCAGTTGCAGCAGCTGGTGGCTGGTGAAGGCGGTGCGGATCCTCTTGGAGGAGCTGAGGTCGTCCGACGGCTCTGCCGGCTCCCCTGCAATGACGAGGACCGTCAGTATCTCCGGTGGCTACGCGCAGCTATCGCTGACGCTTTTCCAAAATGGAAGAGGTCGTGCCTCGTCTGTCGCGATTACTTAACGAGTCACGTGGTCTATCGCAGCGGGCAAGCAAAACGGCTCGTATTTCAGTTACGACCCATGAACTTAAAAACAGGGTGCTAAGGTGTAATCTTTTGGCACAGAAGCAATGGCATATTTCCGAGCATATGTGGGAAATTCGGGAATAAAAATGATTGAAGGAAAATGACTGTATGACAATTTGCCCTGCAACAACTGGAATGTCTCGTCATAAGACGCACATAAATGTCACCAAACACCTGCGCTCTTCCGTTATCCATCGCTGGCATCTAACTTCTTGCCTAAACCGACAGCACGGAACGGATTTTCAAGCCTGACATTCAGCAAAGGCAAACGCATCGGCAAAGGTCTCCTTACAGTTTATCGTGAAACCAACCAGTGCTATATGAGTTGGTCTCAGCGCAGAGTAATGAATGCCCTCTGGCTGTTTATTACGGTTAGAATAAGTGCGATGATTCGAAGAGTCACATGATGGGTGCCCGACCAGAGGATGTCAATGGAGCAATGATATCGTGCCTCCAGGACCAGTTGATGGATTGACGGATGGGTACAACACCGATCGGCCCATCAAACGTGCATCGGTGTGAAAACAAAGCCGCAGTTAACGCCAGGAACATACTCCGGTTATTCACATCCATCTCTGGGCCCCAATGAGCTTCAGCACATTTGAAAGGTACTCCCGTACAAGGCTCCAAAAGAAATAGCATTTCAGATAGTCGTGTCTTGGTTTGCACCACGTCACACTCGTAATAACAGCCATGGGTGTAACGCTACTGTTTTTTTTCTTTGCTGCCGTTTTTTTTTAATTGGTGGTGCTGCCGCATGCCCCTCGCCCCTGACAATAGCCACCCGCTCATCAGAACCCGTGACCAGCAACTCGCACGTGTCCTGGTGTGCGCAGCCATGTTTGACGTCAGACCCAGCAGGCCATGCTGCCGAGGGGCGTGACACCCGACAACGCTACAATGGTGATGACGTCAGCAGGCGGGCCCGGAGCGCTTCTGCCTCTGCCGCCAATCGCGTCACATGGCCGACGGCGCCGACTGCAGAGCCGCGGGCTACCGGCCGCCGGCCGGGAGCCCGGCAAACAGAGCCGCCATTGTGCCGGGCCCGACCGGAGGGCCCGTCTTTCATGGTGTCTTTAAATCCAGTTACATCTCAATCGGCCGGCGGCCGTGGCGCGGTTCCAATGGCGGTCGGGCCAGATCAGCGCCGCGCGTCCCATTCGGCCGCCGCGCGCCGTTCAAACAGTCGCAATTCATGAGCGGTGAGTCCCCGCCGGACGATAATGGCCCCGCGGTCCGCGCGCGGGCGCACGATAATTGCATTAGCTGGCTGCGTCGGAGATGTGTCTGGCCAGTTAGCGGCTCATTTGTTCCATTGTACTGGTCGCAGGGTAACAGCCCTATTTCAAAGCAGCTTAAAGCTTTGCAGTCACATACTAAAATACATACAAGACAGAGTACGAGTGGTTAAGTTTGGTCACATGATCTGTTCGGTTTTCTCATGATAAATAGCAGAGTACGAGTGTTTGAGCTTGTTCACATGATTTGTTGGGTCGGTCCGATTTCACTATTAGATTTCCTGGATTGGCAGTAGGATAGGTCTACCACCTGAACGGACCCGCGTGCAGCACCAATAGTGGCCGGTCTAGGGGCAGACCGCATGATGACAACATCATATACTTTCAAAGTCTTGTGTCAAGACGCCTACGTTCATTTGAAGGCATTCGATGCGTCTCCTCGCCGTTGCGTTAAAACATCGAATTGGATGCCATCAACAATACCACATGTTTAAAATGGAAATGTCTAAAACACCAGGAGCTTAAGAAGCTTTTTTATCAGATGGGCATATTCCAAATTCAACAGCACGGTTGGAAAATAGATAAATCAGATTTGCCTGAGGTCAACACCGCTTTCATCATAGGTCGTTACAGACACCACAGCAATCAGTTTTTGATCCAAAGCACCGAACTTGAAATACGCGACAAACACCAACCGATCGCCTTATACTTTGCCATCTGATCCATCTACTTTGGCCCATTAGGCTCACTTGTTGGTCTCGTGCATGCTTAACTTGAAGTTTTAGAACAAAGTTTGGCAACATACGGTTTTTGCAGCAGGAAGGGCAATTTTGGAACGAAACAGTCTCGGCGGTCTAAATTAAAATGCTCGTGCAACTTTCGCCTAGAGACGATCTAAGGTTTGCCAAAGGTGTCATCAGTAGATAGTGTTCTTTGAATCTCAAAGATAATCGGCCTGGGCAAAATACATTGCTTATAAGCACCATAGTTCTACGTGGAATAATTTCACACATACACACACACACACACGCGCGCGCGCGCGCGCGCGCTCGCACGCACGCACGCACGCACGCACGCACGCACGCACGCACGCACGCACGCACACGCACACGCACACGCACACGCACACGCACACGCACACGCACACGCACACGCACACGCACACGCACACGCACACGCACACGCACACGCACACGCACACGCACACGCACACGCACACGCACACCACACACACACACACACACACACACACACACACACACACACACACACACACACACACACACACACACACACACACACACACACACACACACACACACACACATCCTCCGTACACACGTTCCTCAAACATCACTCATGGCGCAAAGAAAGCCAAACAGCGCTGGAAGGGTTTTGATATGCGCTGCAGGTCAGTGGCCCGACCTGAACGGGGTAAACTGTTTTCGCAGCATGCTCATGTGTATAGTAAGCAATGCCGAATATGACTCAATTGCTGCCGTTTTTCCTCGTACCCGGAAAAGCAGTGCAAGGATTAGCTGCAAGCTCACGCCCGTTTCCTCCAACTGGAGAGGGTGAAGGTTGTATGTAGTACATGTAGCAGCAGCGCTTAGGACGGTACGCACAGTTCACAGTGGTGCCATTGAACTGGGGTGCCCTCTTGAAGATATATTATTACATGCCATATATCGGGCGTAGCCTTATTTCCTCGCTTTTTTACGCATTTGTTAGATACAAGCATGTTATGGCGCCATATGACCAACGTGGTCGGTGCGCCCTAAAGCCCAAATCATCATCATCAGCGAACTGAGGTGCCTAGGTACACGCTGGTTGACTTCAGCATCGATGGGCCGCGTGAAACCTTGTTCTTCGTGACGAAGTTCGCCGCTCTATGGTTTGCTTACAACACCATCGTATGGATGATGCCTTTCGGCAGAACGAATTTGTGCTGGGCTGAGGGATGCGCGCACTGCCATTCGAGCCATACGGCAAAATGAGCCCGAATAAATGTGCTGGTGCATTTTGCTTGCTTTCGTGCACGCTTTCATGTAACATGTTCCGCAATGACCGAGGACCATACAAAATCAAGAACGTGATCATGATCACCATCCTAATGATATAGACACCATTGTGTTAACATTGCTGTCGCCGTACATATTGGGCCTTGCATCATTGACTTTAGTTCAGTTTGGTAATAGCACTGTCATGTCTTAGGTATTGGGGAGGGATATCGGGGTTGATAATCAATTTCACCAACAACAGTGAAGTTACGAGGAATTAGATCAAGACGTGTCTTTTTTTGATAATGTAAGCGGACAAAAGGCTACTTCGAAAAATGTACATCACATGTCCTCAACCTCCACAGCGGCTGCCAGCAGGCGACTAGCTATGCCTGAGGCGTATACTATTTTAGGGGGCTTAGCATTCATGCGGTTACCCTCGGTTGGGGGAAAAGAAGGGTGGCAACGTAAGCTAATTCCCAACGGATGCGACCCGTCTTTGTTGCTGATAAGCAGTACTCAGTCCCTTCGACTGGAATGCATACATTCAAGAACGTTAACGCCATTCGTTTTGAGTACGCTGCACACGGGGCCTGATGTTATGGTAACGACGAACGACATATTATCTCGGCTCAATGCCTTGGATTTTCATGCATGCAAATTTGCACTGCATTGCGCGTTTTTGCTGCAGTTATACTGTACGACTAGCCACTTGCATATAAGATGAAAATGAATTGGCATGACAGCAGTAAATGTGCCACAGGCTAAAATTGATAGAGAACCAAAAAAGAAGAGTTCTGGGAATTATGGTGCATACTAATATCGGCCACGGCATATTACAGATAATTTAATCCACCGTTTATACCAATTGAAATCCCCGACCAACGTTCGTCTTGTCATTAAACGGAGCAAAACAACACACAAAAGATTTTCATGTGTATTCATGTTTGTGAGGTCAAAGAGGCATTCAATTGGTAGTCAACGCAAAGATGGATTCAAAATGCTCGGAAACGAAGCTGTGACACCGGCGAAGACACAGTGGCTCACGAAAAATGTTGCATTTGGAAATGACTGCTCATGAGGGATGTACGGAACAAATATCCGATGCCCATCGTTTGATTTAAGTATATCATGATTACATTGGATGTTCATGGGTGAGATACATTTAATGATTGTGTATGGGACAACCCAAAATCAACAAGCAATTTTGACTGAGCTCTCGGGGCACGTAGCGGCCGCGCCTGCAGGTCCTATTTCGATAATGAGTCAGTTGCAGATTCAAATTGCCATTCTTAAATGAGTCACACAGAGCGCTGATTCGTGTGGAAAGATGGCAACGTAAAGGCAGCTGCCTGGATCGCTTAACGCACATTCACTGTTAAACAAGGTAATTTATGAAACAGCCATTCCCACATTCAGACAGTTCCAAAGGCACACAACATTTCAATATTGAATCATGTGTTTGAGCACTGTTCCTATTCGTGTTGAGAGAACAAACTGTGATGCGACTACCACAGTGTGGCGCTCACTCAAACAGTTTGCGTGTCAGGTAAGGGGTGAAACGTTTATCCACACAAACAGAGCAGCCGGTGGGTCAGCAAAATGCTGCAACACTTAACCACACATCGAACAAACAATCCATCAGACATACACCTCAAGGCTAAATCATTCTGAAAAGTGCGCATTCTTCCAAGCCCAAGACTTATCGTAGAGCATCAACGAAAGGCTATGTCGTTCACGAAAATACCGGTATGACAAACAAAATATTCAAACAAAAATAAACAAACACACAAAATGATATGACCTGATTATGGGGTACAACATGTCTATAGAACTTAGAACGTTCCAAATCCTCTGTCTATCCTAGGCCACCGTCCCCGCCCTCTGCCTTCCTAAATGCGGTCTAAAGGATGGCCCGTTAAGTGCCCCGAAATTTCAACTTAGTGGAGTTTGCCCTGCTCGGGTGTCGCAAGCTTAACACGCGGTCACCTGGGGCGTGGGTGAGAATACCCCACTCTGAGCATCAGGGTTAACTTCGGCCCTCGCTCGGCGGGCTCGCCAAATTTTCAGCACCCGGCATGTAATCAATTTGACACATCCTTGAGAACTTCGTTGGTATTAGGCTGGGCAGTTCGGCTACAACGCCACGGTTGTAGGCTTCCATGGCGAATTTTGCATCTACACACAGTACTCTGGAGTTCCCTTGCTGTTTTGGGATGGTTTGGTGCAACTCATTAACTAGCGTGACTGCCCGCCAGTCACATTAAAGGAGACCACTCAGGCAGCCATCAAAGGTCAACAAAGGTCAACTTATAGATGCCGCGGCGAAACAAAATGTTATAGAATAACTACTCGAATTTCTAACTAAGGACTTTTGTAGGCTATTGATCTGGAAAAACAAAAAAGATCCGGTCAGATGAAGTATTTTATTCTTTTCCTGACATGGTCTTGACCCGACATGAGTTCTCCATCAGTATCTTTTATCAGTATGGCATGATGCAGGACCGCAACGGCCCTCTCTTTTGTTTGAGGTCCTTTATAAGACCATACGATTGTTACCATGCGAACCAGTGAGTCTGGGATCGTTCCAAGGTTTTGGTGGGCTTTTGGGAATTTTGCGTAACTTATGGCGTCATCGGTCACGTGACAGGCGTGCACGGGGTTGCTGAGGACGACAAACCAGGGCTATCAATTGTCGTTTTATGTTTTCCCATCTCTCCACCAGATCCTGGGGTGCTCTCAGAGTTATTTCCCGCTTCCAGACACCTGCGGTTGGTGTAATATCCCAGGCGATGATCGGTAAATCACTTAATATCGCATGTTTCCATATTTCGACATCGCAAAGATTCATCTAAACTGCAGTTGGCCATATTGTATCAAGGTATCGAATCCAGTTCATCCGTTCGCGTGATGCACTTTTCTGACATGTAACCGATTCCTAAGTGCCTAATCCTGTCAACACAAGACTGTTGAAAAACCTGATATCCCTACTTTTACTCCGAGCTTTACTTAACACTTTAAGACATGTAAAAATATTCAGTTGCGAAGACATCAGCCGGACCAAGTAGCCAGGGCAGCAGACGGCGCCTGCGCGGAGCTACTCACGTTTTCCGTCGGCGGGCGGACTGAGCTGTTTGACGGGCTGCTGGGCGGGGTAGCGGGCCGCGCAGGTCATGACCGGGGTCAACGGGGTCAGCGGCGGTCCGGACACGGCCAGCGGCGCCGCCGGCCGAGTCAGCTGCACACACATCGGGCACGGGTAGAAAGGCCCCAGCGCCGAGTGGGTGCAGTAGAAGGGCAGCGGTGGCCGCGCCAGCGCCACCGGCGCCGGCGCCAGGTAGCCGGAAGCGCGCGGCTTCCGGTCGTCGCGGGCGATGAGCGCCTCGACGGAGAAGGAGCGCGACATGGCGGGCGCGGGCGGGCGGGGCGGACTGTGCCGGCGGCTCTGTCGAGGGGACGGACGCGCCGCCGGGCCGCTATCGGCCGATCGGATCCCCCGCCGCTGGCTCCACCCCCGGCTACGCCCCCTCGGGAAGCGGCCACTGCCGGCCGCCGCCGCCCGGAACGGCGCCCAATTAGCACGGCAGAGCTGCAGGAAGCGCTCTTTTGTTCGCGGCGCCGCTCCTCCATGGGATGGTAATGAGCGCTCTAAAATGAGGGTCTATGGCTGTGCCTGCAGCATGATGCACAGCGCACTTTTTGTGAAGTGCGGATCCGGGCAATAGGCGTGTAATTCGCTTGTTCTTCTCAAATATCACGGCATCATACGGGCGCAGTTTTATTCACAGGTAGCGGAAATTGGTGTAGGAGTAAGCCTCATTTTCAAATTGTCCTATCATCCTCAATATTCCGTATTGGGCTGACGGTCACATATCGTTGTAAGCTTTGGCATGTTGGGAGTATATGCACGGTGCGTCTTAAAAATTTCAGCAGCAGCTCACAGCCATCACCTACGCACGCCCAGGCAGTCTGGCTAGGCGCGTCGAATAACGTGGGCATGCCATTTGTATCAGAGCACACACAATATAGTATTCATCGATAATGTTCACATGTCCACATAAAATGCAAGCATCCTGCTGTTTGATGTGTCAAGCACTCCAGCACAGGCATCTGCCAATGACGTGTGATTTATGACTTTGCAAAATTAGGTTTATAACGCCTCAGGATCATCAAAAACAATCGGACCGAATGCTACCTTCAGGTTGACTGTGAAACACAATTATTGTCTGGGGTTCCGTTTCAACTGTTTCAGGTATTCACGCTATCCTCTCCTTTTTCCAGTCAATATGCTAGTTTGATGTAGATCAAGAACATATCTACAACACACACACACACACGCACACACACACACACACACACACACACACACACATATATATATATATATTGGATTTTACATGCTTCATTCTGCCTCAAGGAAAACTGGAAAGTGTACTGGAAATAATTATGCAATAGTTTGACTAGGCTAAGCTTACATTCATTAGCAATATCTACACCGCATAGGTCCCAGCTAGATATACAAAGCTGTTGGCACATTTAAAACATGAACATGCCATGTTAAAACGATAAAGTTTATTTTCCTTTTCTTCTCCGATTTGGCCATTTCTTCGTAGGTGGAGCACCTCATGAAAGATGGTCACATGCCAATATGCGGCTTCAGATAACCTCGAGGGTCAGTACCAGAAGCTATCCGACAGTCACATTTTACCACTGATCTAACGACTGCTGATCTCCGGACGGGGTCAGGGCCAGGACAGAGGGGTCCGTGACCGGACACGAACACCGCCACCACGTGTAACGCTTAGTTTTAACCATTCGTCGCTAGCTAAATTCTTCGTTAATTTCCACGTGGCATGTGCTAGAATGTTGGCAATGTATACGCAAAGGGAAACTTAAGTTGAACTGAGCCTTTCGTGTACTCTAAAGCTCCCTTTACTACTTTCTCCCTCGCAAAGTTGCAAGTACGTGAATTAATGTAAAGTAAGGTTTCGTTTCAGCTGTAATACTGGGTTTATGAGTGGACCAAACCACCCGATGCTTAGAAGACGTGGGTTGTCATTTAACTTCCTGGTGAACAAGGACAGAATATTGACACCTTTGCGCACTGACCTTCGCTGAGTGGATCCTAAACTTGTGTTTAAAACGTAATTGGCTCATCCGGCCTGTGATCCTGCTTCTGGCTTTGTCATGCGTCATCGCGAAGCCCCGCACGTCCGGGGCGGACTGCGTGCGCCAGTCGCGAGTGAGCCGAAGTGGCACCTGGTGCGTGCTGCCGTCCGCGCGCCAAGCGCACACCCCGCAGAGGGCTCACCTCGCGAGCTATGTCTCCTCGGTTGGGTCTCCAGGTGCAAAAAGCCCTGCCACACCGTTTTGCGTTCTTTTCATCTTATAGCCCGGGAATGGTCAGTATGGCCGAAAGGGCTTTTATCCTTCTAACCAAGTAACCAAAGCACAACTGTTTCGGTATTTGGTTAAGGTATGACATATATCTAGATTTAGCCAATATTGGTGGTTTGAAATAAATACTGTTTTCAGTATTTCGGATGATAGTGCGTCTCAGTCATGATAACCATATTGTCCCTACTTTATGCAGTAAGGACAAAATCTGCATACACACCTTTATCTACGTCTTTATATGCAGACAATGAGATTGAGGGATATTAATATAACATTACCGGGTTTAATGGCATTGTGTGCATGCATCGCGCCTTCGACGTTTAACTCCGGCAGAAGCCTTGGGCCACTTTCAACACCTAAAACATGACAAAATTTGCGTTGACTGAAAGTGGACTTTGTGTGCAACATGTGTAGCGTTCGATATGCGATTCCAATAGCAAGAATAAAAGCATGGTGTGCTGAGGTGCAAGCTGCTTGCTATGTTCAGTAAGTCATTAAAACAGGCAATGCAAGTAGGTGCAGGCAGTGTGTAGTGTGAAAAATGCTTCTTCGTTTGACAGTTTATACCTCCAAAGTGACCCCTTCATTGATCTCAGTTCCTGGTCCCCTGCCGAATCCAGAATTCCAGGTTTGGTGCTCGAGACATCTCAACCCGCTGCAAACGTCAACAGAGCGATCCTCAATACATTGACACATGGTGACCCTGACAGAAAGTGCCAACGTTCCATGAGCGTGGCTGTTACCCACGCTCCACCACGCTTCCCGCATAAAGGCAATAGGTTTGCGGCATTACGCACAGAAATAGTTGAATGCTGTGGTAAAATCGCAACTTGCCCTCCTCATTTAAAAATGCTGCAAAACTTCGCCGTTTGCCCCAACATGTCCCCGCTAGTGCCAGATGCAATTGTGTATTTTAAACAGTCTCGCTCAGTGCAGTACTCGTGCACTATGATTAAGACGCACCCGGGTGGCCGGGTGGACATTTCTCGCTCGAGAAGGGGCGGGTCAATTTGACCCCCTTGAGATCTCAGAAACTAAGAGGGCTAGAGCCACCAAATTCACAGGGCATGTTGGCCTATACCTGAACTAATTTAACACAAAGCTTGAGCCTCGCTAGTTCAACCTTCGGGTCAAATGAGATTAAACAAGGTTAAACCCCAAGTAAGTCTCCAAAGTGTCCTGAGAACCTAGATACCTCTTCTAAGCAGAAGGTCACATGATCATTCAAGGTCAGTGACCTTGTTTGACCTTTCGAAGGTCATGGCGACCAAAATCACAGAAAACTGCTTTAAGCTTTGTATTTGAATAAGCGACAAGATTATGTGGGGTAGTATGTTCCTAAAACGAAATGCTGACCTGGGTCATTTTAGGTTAGTGACCCATTCCGACCTATAAGAAGTACACAGAACAAGTCGTATGCGGTTTCTGTCATCAATAAATTCGAATTGAGCACCAGAAACTACCCCACACAGCAAGCCCTACAGTAATAAAACAGGTTGGTCTTGACCTTGGTCGGACCTTCATATCTGACACTAGGTCAATGAAGTTTGGTCATTCAATTGTTGTGTTGCTTAAGAAAGTGTCTCATAGATATATGACTTTGTCTAACACCCCGTTGTTACATCAGATTGAAGGATTCTCTTGAAATTGACTTCGCTGAATCCATGGCCCGACTTTGACCTGCCGTAGGTCAGTGACCTTACTGGTTGCATCCAATTTATTGATGCCACACGATCCACCATTCAGTTGCTACAAGTGTGCAAAATTTGTCGCCGCTACGCTGCGCCGTTCGGAAACAATTGCGGAAAAATCCTTGGGGTGTCAATGGACCCCACCCGAGTGCGTGTCAAGCATGTATCTCTTCACACATACGCATACATGTATGGATGCCATTATGCCTATATATAAATGAATATATGAATATATACATATATATATATATATATATATATATATATATATATATATATATATATATACATACATGTGTATGTGTGCGTTTGTGTGTGTGTGTGCATGTGTGTGTGTGTGTAATTCATACAAGAAAACCTTCTCCCGTTCGGATGAGTGTAACCACCTAGGCTGCACCTCCGTAATTTACACATTTATCGCTGTAGAACATGTGTTTTCGGTGCCTCTACCGTCAGTGCATTGTTAAACGCTATTGTTATTGTCAGCTGTATGCTGTTTGGACTATTTGCATGCAATTGGATAATTTTGCCACCCAGGGGCGAAAACATCTATCGTAATTTGTTTTCGATGTCCGGAGAGCAAGCTGCGATTTTACCCAAGCATTAAACTTTTCCTGTGCGCAATGTCACGAACTTACAAGGACACCGGGGACGAAAAGGCGTGGGATCGGTCTCGACCTGTTTGCAAAGGCATTTGACTAGTCATTTATACAATGCCTGTCATTTGGGCTTCATATTATTTTGCTCTGATGTCAGGGGTGGCTGAAGGTAACTACATTGCCTATTGTTGGACACCTCTTTCCCCCGGGGCCTGTGATTCGATCATGCTTCATCCATTTCAAATAGGCATTGATTTTACTGGGCATGCCCGAATCGCGTGATCTAACCGCATGCTTTTTATGAAATTCACATTGCACGCTCGTTGGCACGTGCCGTGCGCGAATGTTATGCACGCCATGCACGCTCAATGAAACGTGCGTGCAATTGGTGAACATTGCATATTTTGCAGCGCTATTTTGGTTAGATCGCTTTGATTTCAATGCAGTGTGCCCATGTGTATGGCGTGCTTCCAAGCAAGCTCAGACTGCATGCGTAGCAAGAGTGTTGTATCATGGAACTTATCCTGCACGGCAGGTTGTTGGATCGCATGGAAGTGTTTATGGGATTAAGTGCGAGTTTAACAGGGAAGTGCCCTTGGAAACGGAAATTATATCCTCATTTAACTGTGACGTGAGATAGCGCGTCGATGTTAAGTAACTCGATTCTGTCCGAAAGAAGCTCGGATAAAGGTCGAGGGATCAATCATCTTTACGATCTG